TATACCCTATATTCTATCTGTTTAAGGAGGACTATAGCTATTTTAGACTGGTGACTGTGAACATGGAGAAGTTTGTTGCCATGTTACTTATTGTATGTGCTGTCTGTGTGCTCAGGTGATATTTATCATGCAGATGACATTATGGGCAATGCCTGAGCAGATCAATCGGCATCTCATTGTTTTTCTCTGTTGCAGTCGCATACATGGTCAACCATGACTTGTGCTTCTGAGGTTCCTGAGTCTAGCTACATAGATGGAAGAAGCTAGATGCGATCACACCGCAGGCCAGCCATAAGACTGAATCCAAGAGGATCAACTATCCACCCATGTATTCCTCCCAAACCCAGGAAAATCCAATCCGCCCCAGGGCCGCGACGTTTCCCTGAAAGACTTGGAAGACTGCCGGATAGTACTGCTGGATCGGACTCTGGGCAGCGACTTGTGACGTCTTAGTTTCAATCATCAGGTTATCCTGGCCTGCTTGAAGGGAGTCCGAGACTGAGGCCTAACGTCACAGTAAGTTGAGGAAGGGCACCCTAAAATCTCCCCTGCCAAGACCAGCAATCTCCCGGCATACTTTCGGGTCTCACAACCCCATTCCTTTGAAGTTAAGCCCTCGGAACAAGTGGGTAGTGGCCTTCCCCAAGACCTGGTGGTAGGGGGGTAGCCACCGTTCAAGATGGCATCTTGTATACATTTGATTTTTTAAGCGCTCCGCCTTGAACAAGCTGAACGCCCTCCTGCCATTGTAAGCCTCACGCCGTCCCTAACCCCAAGTAAATGTGTCCCAACGACATCCTGAATCCGGAATGCCCTATGAATGAAGTTGCGGTAGCAGCTAGAATTTTTGCACGTAATCCAACTCCTATTATAAGATGCAGCAAGTGAAAGCATGCTACATTGTACACACCGTGCAGATTTACGCCGCTCATCTCCATGTACATTCTCATCGGAACTCCCATATGAGTAGTATTTTATTTGGGATACTATGGTAACCAATATAGAGTAAGATTATATCCTCCTTTTGGGGTATAGTATTTTATATAAGGAATATTATCTTACTGGGTTTAACCACCAAGAAACACTACTCATATGAAATTTCTTCTATGCCCAGAGGGCCCCATCCTGTAAGGATCGGTGCTCTGCATGTGCAGCAGCTGACACGCTGTGAGATCGTGATCGGCGCAGATCCTAGGCTTGTTCCCAAATGGTTTTAGGGCTTATGGGGTTTTAGGGTGTAGGGTGTAGGGGTTTGCTCTAATGAGGGGTTCTCAAATATCGGACCCTTATAGGGGACCAAAAATATGTATTAGGATGAAGAGGGGATTCAGGGGGATCCAGAGACCGGAGTGTAGGTGGCAATTTATTAGCAAGCTCCCAGATTTAGTAGGGCAGGGCTTAGGGTGAGATTCTTCAAAATGGCCGGGTCTCCTGTTGAGTGCTCACTCAGAAGGAATCCATATTACAGGTTTGCTTAGCTTTTTTTTGGACGCTGCTAGATGCAGGTTGGGGTGTTCTGTAAGTACATGTATAAGATATGGATTCAGAATATCTCGTTAGCATTGTTTTTTGTCGCCAATACAAGCTCGGATCTAATCGCGCAACCGTCCTGGATCACTTCTCAGACATTTTTGGAAGTTGAGATAAGTCGCAGCAATTTTTCTGCAGACACACGTGCTGCAAAGTAGTAGGTAGTCCCACTTCTAGGAAAATTGTGGCGCGACTCATGAGCGCCCAGCCCAGTTGAATTGGCGCCATAGGGTGTTCATTCATTTCGTTTCAACCGCGTCTGTTGCCAGCTCAGTCTCCCATCATCAGCAGGCTCATACAGCCAAACAACCTTGTTCAGATTTTGCAGCGTCATGGCTTGAGGATGTCAGGCAGGCAAAACAGGGTGTCCGAGTCTTCTTCGGGAGGGGTTTCCGGAACATCCGAAACATACTGTTGAGGATGCCCTTCTCAGGGCCTCAAGCTTCGAAAACTATGACCATGACGCTTCCATGCGAATAAGGTATCCTCTTCAGCGCTGATCCACTTCTGCAAAGACTGTGTTTTCACGCTGGCAGCAGCGGACTCAGTGGGTGAGGAGAGCACAGGTAGGGCCAGGGACAATAGACTTCATATAAAGATGTATGCAGCTGAGGACTTCCTGCTACAGTAACAGATTCTTTCATGGTGGTGGGTACACCGATTCCTTGGGCGCAGTAAGCCTTGGCCTTGGCCTGTGAGACCTCAGTAAGCCTAGTCCTTCCGTTGCTACCTCTCACCATTCCTCTGTAGCAGCACCTCAAAAAATCACACAGTAGAGAAATCCCTGCATCCTGGGCTTGTCAAATTTGGAGCTTCATGAGTAGTATGTAGGGTTGGAAGTGCTCCAAATAGGAGCATAAACTAACCCCACGTAAAATTACACATGAGCTAAGTCTAAACTCGTTGGGGGGTTATATAGCGGAGTATTATAGGGGTTATTAAGTGGATACTAGGAGTTTAGACTATAGCTCACATAATTCTCCAAGTAAACTCCTAGCATACCCCTATAAACTCTTGGACGCTTTCTCAAATTGCGGCAGAGGTGAAGCAACTGCGGCTTCACGACTCAGAGCGAGTAGCGCTCCATTTGCACACGTTGCCAAAGCCTCAGGTTTGCGGGTTTAGGGTTTCAGGGGTGCTGCTCAGGGTGGTCTCATGGGTTTCAAACAGGGCGCTTAGTGCCAGTCGGCCTGCAAAGAAGGTTTGACCGGAGCACCTCATACAAAGCTGCCCTCCTTGTGCATCTCAATCTACTGAGCCATAGTCAAAACTCCTTAAAGGCGTGATTTACAGGGAGTAATATAGGGATTACTAAGGGGCATACTAAGAATTTAGGCAAAAGCTCACTGGCTTTTTGTCCACTTACAGCAGTGTGCAGTCTGCACCAATGGCGGACTCCACCATAGTTTTGTTCCCAGAGGCTATTTTATTTACGGTTAGATCCCCTTGCATACCTAGCATAAACAAAAGACATACATCAGAAAGATTCAACATGGGCATTTATCTTCCCTCTGGCTTGCAAGGAAAAAAGGAGTGGTAGTTTCCATTTTCTTTTACGTTCCCTGAGTCCTAAACCCGAAATCCTAAATAGCATTTTTCACTTTCCAGTACCTACACCTAAACTCTTCACTTGCTTTTCCAGTCCCTAAAGCCTAGACCCCAAATCCCGAATAGTACTGTAGTTTCCGTTAGCTTTTCCATTCCTTGATTCCCTGCTTACCAGAGGTAAGTAATGTATCCCACAAATCAACGCCAGGTTCCAGGTCATTGCCCATTTCATGTTCGTGTCCTGCTCCATTCGGTTCTCCATTATTACGGTAATATCTCCTTCTATATCCCTCTAGATAACCCCCCATACATTCATGCAACCTTTGAATAATCCCTATAATGATGATGTCGTAGTTTCCATGTTCTTTTCCTTTATCCTTTCAACCAGAAGTAAGTTACCTGGAAATCGGCACAGGTCTGGGCCAATCATCGAGACCTCGAAAAAGATCGCCTTTGCACCATTGGACCTCAACTGGGATGCAGGCAAACCCTGGGTTATCTAGCGATACATAGGGTTTTATAGGACTACGCAGGCTTATACAGGATATAGGGTTCTCCGTAGGGTTCTCATGCCATCTGCGGGTGGGACCATCAACTTCAGCTCCCTCACCTGCAGTTGACACACATTTACGTAGAATGTAGAACTTATGTCAGAAGGCATCAGCCGTCACCCCCTCCGCAACGCCGCAACGTGCATCAAACAATTCCAAATGATCCATGCATGGCCTACCCTAATAAAACTTCTGTGCCCAGTTGCCTTAACGTGAGTTTGCTGAGCGAGTCGACCCCCCCCACCCAAAAACCCGCGATCTTTAAACCCACAACAGCCTTGCAGCCCCCACGTCTGCAGGGCCAGACCTCCTGGCACAAGCTTCACTTGGTGAGACGAACAGCAAGGTGGAAGGGCGGGACAGTGGTGGAGTGGAAAAGAAAATGGAAGTTACTGTAGGAATTAGGGTTACCTTTTGGGGGGCTATATCGGGGTGATCTAGGGATAACAGAGAATAAAACAGAAGCTACCATACAAATTAGGGTCTGGGATTTAGTATTTAGGTCAAGGCTTTTGCGCTTGCCCAGAAAGTTCAGCCGACCGTTGCGCTCCAAGGCTGTACTGTTTCTAGAAATCCGTAAGCGTAAGTGTGGTATGCTGTGCCCGTGTCACACACCGTGTAATCACATGGGAACTATCCCATGAGGTCTGTTGTACAGATATGGCTCACTCTCAATTACTCGTTTCTTAGGGTGTTTCTTAGGGTAAGGGCAGCTTTTCGGTCCAAGCCCACTCCGGGAGGCTGGCGTGTGGAGCGAGGTGCAGGATTTCAATTGGCTCAAACGTCAGGCTGCGGAGGGAATGAAATGGGATTAATATTGGGACTATATATAGGGATAATGGAAAAGAAAATGGAAACTACTGTAATGAGCTTTGGGGTAGCAGAGCTTCTGTTGCAGTGCCCGGGGGAATGAGGAGCTCTGTTCAAAAGGCAAGGGGTCGAAGACCTTCCTCCAAACCAGGTCTGGATAATTGCTGACTGTACCGTGTGGCGTCTTGGACAACATCCCCGAGAAGGGC